ATTTGCATTGGGCTTTAAATAAATGATCCTAGCTAATGAAACAGCTGATCTTAGTCAGTAACAAAGCTACACAGATCATCTCACACCATTCTACACTCATATTTGGGTTAAAATACGCACCTAGGTGGCGTCCCCATATCAATTGATATTGATATTGATATATATTGAACTAATGTTATTTAAATAGGGAATAAATGTGATATTTTTACAGAGACATTTTAGCGTAAATCCAATCAGGCAAATGGAAATTCGCTTAGTCTGCAGGTTTGCTGTGGCGGGGGTATTTTTGATTAAAATTGGCACTTTGTGATACATTAATTGGAATATATACGAATTTTACTATCGTTTAAGCGATGTAATACAAGTTTACAGCTCAACATTTACTCACGTATATTTTCCCCTTAGTAATTATGAAACATAATTTTGCAAACTTCAGTAGCAAAAAGGTTTTCTAAACATATACATCTTATAACAAAACTAATTTATTGGTATATCAACACTGATTGCAAGTCCTCTTCTCGATTTAAAGTGATTCTGATATTTTGATTATACTTTCATTATATTTTGACTCTATTCCAGTGATATGAATCTAGCCTAGGCTGTTTCTGAATTAAGGTACTTTTTGGCATAACCTTTAGAATAGTATCATTTACATATTTGTAATTACTAACAATTAATTATTTAGTTAAATTTAAGGGATTAATCCCCTAAAAGATATTATTATGTTTATTCTTATTTAATAATCTGTTTCTAATTTTCAAATTATGAATTAAATCGGGGCCAAACCTAAAGCAATGCGATTCATTTTTAATACTTTTAGAAATTATTCTATTTTTAACAAATGTGTTGCTTAACAATTACCATAGGGTGTAAGGTAAGTTTACTGAAGTTGATAATTATAACTACTATTTAATGCAACAGAAAAAATGTATACTTTACGCATTATCGTTGGTTATGAATTAAGTATAAAAGAATCATTTTTAAAGCCAATCTTTGCTCGTATTATTTAGTTGTCTTAGAAGTTCATACACATCTAAATCTACTGATTGATATTCCACCACAGCGTCTGCAATTTACTTCTGTGGAAAAGCTGTTGTCCAAGCGACAATAATAATGAACGAGCGGCCGACCCTCAGAACAATGGACTGAGTAGGACGGGCAGCAGGTAGGCTGCCGAGCAGCCCAGCCCTACTAGGGGTAGCGTTTCAGGGGGGGACGATTCCGGGGTGTACATAGGGGATGCCTTGCCGGGGGAGACCTTTCCGTTTCTACTTGTTTGAATTAAAATTAATAACATAATTAGTTCGTATCAACTAGACTTTGATAAATTACTTGTCAAGCCCTTGGGGGGGGTGCGATTCCGGTCGCGGACATAGATTTTATACCAGCTGGTTGTCTGGTTTCGTGACGTCACGTTTAGCCTGGGGGGTGATGTTTCCGGGGGCGACCATTCCGGCGACCCCCCAAAACCCTCAATATATTTTTTTAAAATTTTAAAACTAGGTGTGGTAATTATATCGACCTCCGGACCTCACGCAAAATTAAAATTTTTTTTTTCCAAAATGTTCGAAATTTCACGCTGATTTCAAAAATGATTGTCGTTTTTTTCGGAAACGTCCCGTTTTCCCGTAAATTGGGAAAAACGGGAAAAATATTTTTTGCTCAAAACCCATGTTGTGGGTACTCAAATTGTGCTGAATTTCCTCCTGAACAAGAATATGTAAATTTTATTACGATCGGACCACTATTAAGTAAAATATCACCGAAAAACGGGAAAACGGGGAAATATTTCTTTGCTCAAAACCCATGTTGTAGGTACTCAAATTGTGCGGAATTTCATCCTGAACAAGAATATGTAGTTTTTATTACGATCGCCTTTAAGTAAAACATCACCGGACAGGTTACCCAACCTAACATAACCCAACTTAGGTTGAGATTAGGTTAGGTTAGGTTAGGTTAGGTTAGGTTAGGTTAGGATAGGTTAGTTGAGGTAAGGTTAGGTTAAGTTAGGTTAGGTTGGTTTAGGTTAGGTTGAGTTTCGTTAGGTTAGGTTAGGTTAAGTTAGGTTAGGTTAGTATAGTTTAGGTTAGGTTAGGTTAAGTTAGGTTAGGTTAGGTTAGTTTAGGTTAGTTTACTTACAATACTCATGTTATTGATAAACTAACCCAACCTAACCTAACTTAGGAACTTAGGTTAGGATAGGTTAGTTTAGGTTAGGTTAGTTTAGGTTAAGTTAGGTTAGGTTAGGTTAGTTTAGGTTAGTTTACTTACAATACTCATGTTATTGATAAACTAACCCAACCTAACCTAACTTAGGAACTTAGGTTAGGATAGGTTAGTTTAGGTTAGGTTAGTTTAGGTTAAGTTTGGTTAGGTTAGGTTAGTTTAGGTTAGTTTACTTACAATACTCATGTTATTGATAAACTTACCTAACCTAACCTAAGTTCCTAAGTTAGGTTAGGTTAAGTTAGGTTAGGTACACTAAACTAACCTAACCTAACCAAACTTAACCTAACCTAACGAAACTTAACCTAACCTAAACCAACTTAACTTAACCTAACCTAACCTAACTTAACCTAACCTAAACTAACTTAACCTAAACTAACCTAACCTAACTTAACCTAACCTAACCAAACTTAACCTAACCTAACGAAACTCAACCTAACCTAAACCAACCTAACCTAACCAAACTTAACCTAACCTAACCTAACGAAACTCAACCTAACCTAAACCAACCTAACCTAACTTAACCTAACCTAAACTAACCTATCCTAACCTAACCTAATCTAAACCTAAGTTAGGTTATGTTAGGTTAGGTAACCTGTCCGGTGATGTTTTACTTAAAAGCGATAGTAATAAAAACTACATATTCTTGTTCAGGAGTACCTACAACATGGGTTTTGAGCAAAGAAAAATTTCCCCGTTTTCCCGTTTTTCGGTGATATTTTACTTAATAGTGGTCCGATCGTAATAAAATGTACATATTCTTGTTCAGGAGGAAATTCCGCACAATTTGAGTACCCACAACATGGGTTTTGAGCAAAATAATATTTTTCCCGTTTTTCCCATTTTCCGGGAAAACGGGACGTTTCCGAAAAAAACGACAATCATTTTTGAAATCAGCGTGAAATTTCGAACATTTTGGAAAAATTTTTTTTTAATTTCGCGTGAGGTCCGGAGGTCGATATAATTACCCTAGGTGTTAAATTTGGATTTAGATTCATTTCTGCACTTGAACCTCTTTTTCTTAGAATATGTGGTGTTTTTCTTTTTAAGTGTCTTTCTCTCAGAAGGTCTTCCTTTCTTTCTCCGTCCCTCTTCATTACTTCCTTCTTCACTTGCAGATTCCACATATTTTCCACCATTCTTTTTCCTTACTCTTCTACTACCTTCACCATAACTCTCAGACTGGTTGACCTGCCGCAACTTCTGACGATTTCTCAGTTGTAAGTAAAGGTATTCTATCTTTTTGGTCTTCCTTTCCCTTTCCACCTTTTGTTGGTCCTACTGTAACAGACAATGTTGCCTGTTGCAGTGTTTAGGGACCATCTTGTCCCACTGCCTGATCTTCAGTTCTTGCTCCTTCCCTCTCATCGTATCCTTGGCCTCCTCGAAATATTCACACGACGTAACATTGAGTGCAGGTCGTATCTCGGTGTCCTTTGCGGTTGACGTGACCCCAGGAGCATCGGTCCAATGCAGGATCCCATCCTCATCTCCCGAGATGGCTGATGAGTCCTCGACCATCACTGTCCGTCGCAAGATCTCTTCTGCACCTCCTGTGATGACCGTTGAGTCCTCGACCCTCTCTGTTGGCCGCAGGATCTCTTGTCTATCTCCCAAGATGGCTGATGAGTCCTCGACCATCACTGTCCGTCGCAAGATCTCTTCTGCACCTCCTGTGATGACCGTTGAGTCCTCGACCCTCTCTGTTGGCCGCAGGATCTCTTGTCTATCTCCCAAGATGGCTGATGAGTCCTCGACCATCACTGTCCGTCGCAAGATCTCTTCTGCACCTCCTGTGATGACCGTTGAGTCCTCGACCCTCTCTGTTGGCCGCAGGATCTCTTGTCTATCTCCCAAGATGGCTGATGAGTCCTCGGCTAACTCCAAGATATTTTCCCGGTTGTTGAATTTGATTTCATTGTATTTAATTTCGATGTCCGATTTGTCTGTTTCATAGGTGTTAGTAATAACTTTAGTTTCTAATTTTGATTGGTTTTGTTTTTCCGAAATCTTTTTAATGGAGGATGAAATTACATTTTTGATGCCTGCCAAATGAGTATCCAATTGTTTTGATCGAGTATCTAACTGTGCCGAAATCTTTACTAGTAACATACTCACCGGGTCTGCTGGTGGTTCTCCTAATTTTGCCATTTCTTCTTAAAATCCTGTCACGGTCGCCAATTGATATCGTCACTATACTGTACGTGATTCAATTCCTTTGATATCACGGACGATTAATATCAAACATTAGAAATGACAAAATAAATTGTAACAAAAACTAGGTATCTTCTTTATTGTATTCAACAAAACAATTTACTAAACTATTTTCTGTTTACAAAAACAATTGAAAAACATATGACTGTTTATATATTAATTATTAAACAGTCTTTTGGCAAACTTGTATGAAATATATTGAGGGGTTTTCTTTATCAATGATTAATCATCGTACGTCATTTACAATATAAATTTATGGTCATACATTTAAATCAATAAAAAGTGAATTAATGAGATGATGTCACCTGTCTGCCATGTTATCTTATGGGACGTCTAGTGCTAGACAACACCTCTTGCAACGTTGCCAATTCTACCAGGCCGCGGCTTGTAGTTAAATGTGGCCGTGGTCTGTGGGTCTATCTGTGAATACGGACTTACTGGACCAATGCTGGTACAATGCATGGGTACAATGGTAATAGACTGGTGGTAGTGGTAGTGGTTGGTAGATAGTGGTAGGTTGGTAGCCCTGGTAGCTGTCTGCCGCTGCCGAGTGCCGAGTGTGTGGCGATGGCGATTGTGCGACCGTCGAATTAAAACTTGTAAGCTAGGTTAAGTTTTCTTGTTTGTTTTCACTGTTTTTTCAATCAATGTTAGTGAAGGCCCTATGCCCCCTAGCTCCTATTCCGAATATTCATTCTGATTCTGAAGAATGAGGATAGGACTAATAGAAAATCAAATCTAATAAATGTATTTTAGATCTAGGGGTTGTTTTGGATTAAAAAAGTCGAGGAAATTGATTTAGAATAGATTTATTCCCAATTTTTAGTCCATTTTGGCATTTCATCACATCTTTTCCTTAAGGCCTTTTAATATTTGAATACCGAAGAGTTTCCAGTGACAAGTAGAAGTAGGCCTAAGTTAAGTTACTCTTGGAGGCCCGTCAAAATGTTGAGTCTGATAAGCAAACATACAGTAAAAGTGCTGTCAGCATCAAAGTTGAAGATTAATTATAATCGTATTTTGTCCAATGAGAGAGATTTTGACATTTGTTTCAAAACTATAATGGACTCAAGTAGCAGCAGAGATACAACCCAAATTTCACAGGGAACTGGTAAGTTAAACATGCACAACTCATCCCATGTGTCTTACCACAGAAAACATACTAGGACTACTATAACCCAGAATGCTAACCGCATGTTGAAAAGCGTTAAGTACTCGGAGAGAGCTTTGCCCGTCAATTCGTAGGCAGCGCCACCAGCATCTGAGTACTTAACGCTTTTTAACATGCGGTTAGCATTCTGGGTTATAGTAGTATGTCTTCTGTGCTTATACTTAAGTAGGCTAGGCCATAAGTATTTTTACACTAAAATCCTAGGGAAACACTTTGGTAGGCCTATATGACACTACTGGTTGAATCGTTTGTCATAAGTTAGTCGAATTGTCCGCATCAACCAATTGAACTAATATTTTCGGTTGGATTGTAATTGAGTAGATTTTATCTTATTTTAATAGTACCATAAGTAAGTTAATTGGTATGGTTTCTGTTTGATAGCTAGGTAATTAATTGTATTAAAGTTATATGTTTTGTTACCAGTATTTTTTTATTTAGGTCGGGGTTTTTTTTTACCTACTCCTACATTTTTACCAGAAAAATTTGCTACTTATTTGTGTCTACTGTGTCCAAAAACCACCTTTCTTTTATGACTAAACTAGCAGAGTACCCGTCCTTCGTACGGGGTTGGCATATAAGTTTAAAATGCTTATTGCAGTTATACTCAAGCTTTGCATTTGCAATGGGGGAGGACAAAGTTTGATACAATTTGCTTCTTTAAATTGACGGTATACTATGGTATTACACATCTACAGTAGACATAATGTTCTACCACTTAACCTAAACAATAAAGAAAAATAAATTATATTAAAGATTTGCAAAAAAATCACAAATTATTCATGACATTAAAAACATGAACATAACTGTAAACAATCTTACTTTGACATAAATGCAAAAATAATTATAGTGCTGCACCCTGTTGGTAAATCTTATAAATTTTTAATGCTTTTGTATATCATGGGGGGCTTCACCCCATATAGCCCCCCTGGGAACAGCCACTGATAGTAGATATATTATGTCTTCTATGTGTTTCAAAATCAAACATTTAAGACACTATGCTAATGCCCACGCTACCAACCTTATTTTTGGAACGACTTTTTTTATATATATTTAAACACTCCATTCTGGTACAAGCACTAGCTATACCTACGACTTCTAATAGCTCATTGTCTAGTATCATTTTTTTCAAAATCAAAACTGGAAAGGCTTTTCAGTTTCACACATAGAGGCCCTTCAAGTTAAGTTAATAACTATATTGTTAAAATAATTTATGGGTTCTCTTGAATAGAAAAAAAATATATAGGTATTGACTTGATTAAAATCAAAGTACACATTTAAATCTCAAATATCCAAACTACCCACTTTTACCCACACAATTTTTACCCAATGCACCTAAAATTACCCACAAAGTAGTGGGTAATTCCACGGATTAACATCACAGCAATGCTGTGGATTGAAATAAATAAATTAGACTACATTTTAATTACCAGCTGATCATATGATCTTTATTGTTTGAATTGTTATTGTTTATGTTTGTTTCTATTCTTTGTGTTAATGAAATAATACACTTTTTACTTGATTTAGCTTTTACTATTTATAAATAGTTACAACACTGTAGAGTTAACATTTTAAATTTTAGTTATCAAGCAACGATTAAGTCTAACTGTATATATTTTTCACAGATGATTTCAGAGTATTAGATCTCAAAAAAGTGACTGTGAGACAAAAGCGGCAATCACGACAACAGAGAACCAAGTTTGAGGTACCTCCACCAAGGTATTTATTTTATAGCTTGCCGATAGTTTTTTTCTAAACAGTGTTACTGTAGGGTAGACTTTCATATATGTTGTCAAAAACAACCGAATTAAAATATCGATCACAGTTTAGATTCGGTTGTTTTTGACTACAGATATGAAAGGCTACCCTTACTGTACTATAAAATCTTATTTTTCAAATGAGATCCCTCCAACTTTCTTAGAATAATGTTTTGTTTTAAATTATTTAGATGCAGGAGATTTTTGAATGGCTGTCTTTGGTAAATGGCACTCCCTCGCCTTGTTTAGTTCAATTGTAGCATATGTCCTATGGTTGGAGTGCTGCAAAAAATCCAAAAAAACCATCTGCCAGTGATGTGCCAGTTTAACAACATGTTCATTACCGTGAACAACTGCAAAATCTTCTTGATAGAACTGAGTAAAAATAGTGATGATAAATTCAAATTGTAGGCCTTATGATAGGAGTTAGAGTTAAACAAATTGCGGTTTTTTAGCTTCGAAACCCTGCGGTTGCTAAATGTCCAACACGATTATCCAAAACGCAACACTATCCATCCATGTAATTCCATAACTTTAGATATCGTACAGAAGAAATCTTAATCTGTGGACTAACTGAAGAACATTAGACCATAATTCGATAAGACTTGGGTGTAGGAGGGATGGTTTTGATTCTCGGCGCATCCACAACACATTTGGTTTTAGACATTGGGTTTAGATGCACTGCTACAATGAATGTTATAAGGTTTGTTCCTTAGCAAAATAGCCTATTAGTAACTTTCAATGAAATAAAAAAATTTTGAAATTTATCAAAATGTCTGTAGCCTATATTAAAAGAATTGGATTGTATCTATTAAAAAATAAGGTTTGACAAAAATTATTTTGAAATTTTGTGTTTTGAGGGTTAAAATAGGAAAATAATTTATCCTATAAAATAAAACTTCCTAAAAACCCTGTCCCCATATTCCGACCATCAAGGCCGTAGCCAGGACAAACTTTTGGAGGGGGGGGGGGAGGTCAGGTCAGTGGTGGTTCCAGGACCTTGTCAAGGGCGGCTCCCGGGGGGCTTGGGGGGTGTTAAATATAAATTTTGTTTATACAGTATTTAAAGTACATATATTAGTATCTTTCTAAAGCAATTTTAAACGCCTAGAAACTGTCTCCAATCAAAACTCCCATTTAACCTGTTGTTTGTCATAAGTAAGTAAGTAGACATACTTATTTAAACTTAACGATTGCATTCATAAATTTGTAACCATACTGTAGGCTACGGCCATATCCTCCTAAGAACTGTTTGGTACTTTCTTTAGCCCCTGTAGCCTCCCTTGGAACCGCCACTGGGTCGAGTCATGACTGTAGATAACAGATTTAAGCACTTTCATTCAAACACCAATTCCCATGCGTATTTCTAAAATGTTGATATAGTTACATACGTAAAATATTACAGGATGATAAATCTGTTTTGTTTGAGTACCTAAAGTATTTTTGTTGAACCTTCATAGTTTTATTACCTCTTTAATAGATCAGATTTATTAATAGAATCATTATATAAAATATTAATAATTACTGCAAAACATAACAAAACATAAAATATAATCCTCCGTTGTGATTTCAATTTTATAATTTAACTTGCACTTTGTAAACCTAAGTTTAGTGATAATTTTTACTACTAAATTTTGGGATTTCGGGGGGGGGGGGGGGTTTGACCCCCTAACCCCCCCCTGGCTACGGCATTGCCGATCATGTTGGTTTGCGAACTGGTTCTAAAAAAATGTTGGTTTATGCATTTGTACCAAGTTAAATCAAACAAAAATCAGATTACTTTTTACTTGAGTTATCGTGCTAACGGACATATAGATTATATATACACAGTAGAGTCCAGATAGTGTGAAATGGTTGGGACCGAAACCATTTTGGATTGTTGAATTTCTCAGATTAAAGCAAAATGTTTAGCCTACTAAAATACACATAATTATGAAACATCAACACACAACGTTAAGTTGGCCCATTGGCCTACTAGGCCTACAACAAGTCTATCTCGCCTGGCCGCTCGGATGCTACAGAATACTTCGACGAGATACAACTAATTGTTGTCACAAACAAATAATAACAATGACAGCTGAAGAAAAGAAAAAAAAATTAAAAAAAACTCCTTTTTTGGTTTTGGATTAAGCGGATTATCGGATTACTGAAGTTCGGATTATTGTGACTCTACTGTATATGAAATAAATATAAATGAATCTGAACGGATGGTGCTTTTGGCCGCTGGGGACATCAAGACAATAAAGTAAAGGGGTCCCTGGTAGCTTACTACAGTATATGGGATACCTATGCCTACATGGGAAATTCGCTAAAATTGTACCATGCCATTTTTTACTAGCTAGTTTTCTTTTTGCAGAACAACCTTGATGAAGGAAGACCAGGATTGGACATCAGTTTGGCCTGGACCTCGTACGTTTCACCCTGCTGTGGTGCCACTTCCCATCCGCCAAGGCCACGGCAAGAAGAAGGCAGCACCTGGCAAATTTGGTAACGCGGAACTCATGAAAATACCCAACTTTCTTCATCTCACACCGCCTGCTATCGAGAAGCATTGCGAAGCTCTTAAGAAATTCTGTACGCCATGGCCAGTGGGGCTTGAAACAGATGAGAAGTGCGAAGATCATTTCCCTGTAGAGGTTATATCATCAGATTACTGCCATTCCTCTCCCACCATCAGAGACCCCCTCGCCAGGATTGTGACAATCAAGGTAGTTTTTGTACATTCGTAAGTTCATTGTATTTATTCAATTACTCCAATTAAGGGTGTTGTAATATTGTACTGTTTATTACAATATACAGTGTATCTCTCTGTATCATAATAAGCGAATGGTTAAATTAGTTAAAATGATATAAAGAAAGATACTTGAGAACCAAGACAGCGATGTTGTGGGTTCATGTCCCTGTGTTGTCACTGATAATTTACCTGTATTATTCTTTCTGGTACTGTTCACATCCACTACTAATAATGTTTGTTGACAAATGGAACATTCAAAGAAACCACAAACCCCTAAAAGAGAAAAACTGGTGATAAATCCGTGAAATTTTTATCAATTGTCGGTTACAATAATTTTTTGTTTTGAATGGATACAATAAAAATTACCTGCTTATAATTTAGCTTAAGCCACACTAATTCTAAGTTGTTTAGATCTGTGCATTTATAATAAATAACTTAATTATGTCATCAATACTATAATATGTGATCGTGCTGCACTGTCATAATCATCTCCCTCCATCCCGAAGAAATACTGCGGAAAAGTTGTGGATGTACCTGTGATCGGGCTAACATAATTGTCTTCCATGATTTCGGCAAAATGATTGCATGGCAACAAATAAACTAAGACCAACATTTTCGATCAATTCTCAGTTTTGGTTTTTTGTTAAAAACTAACAACAGACATTAAAAATAGACCCATTTGTCTCTATACAGTCTACCCTGTATACAGTCTAGACCCTCTAGATTTGTAGACACTCTTAGTCTGATTGGAGGCAGGGTTAGCAGTGGTTCAGAAACAACAATCACAGTCACGCCTACTATTGTTTATATGTGCTAAGGGCCGGTACACACACACTGACTTTTGTTGTGCCCCTGTACGACTCAAGAAATCGTATATCTGCACGACAAGTAGAGAAACAAAGTAGGCAATGGAAGTCGCATGTGTACACACTAGTGCGACAGAAGTCGTGGACGACAAATTTTGAGTTGCGCCCTACACCGACTTGGGGTCCGACAGGCAAGTCGTGTCATATGGGCTCACGACTGTTTTGAGTCGAAGTGGGACATGGCGTTATACGGCTGTCGCGTTGGTGTATACACACTAATGCGTCCCAGGACACGACTGCGGGGCGCCACGCTGGGAAACTCAGACCCTGCCCCGCCAGCAGTGTTGCCGTTTTGCGCGTAATCACGCTTTTTGCGCGGCTTAGGGTTGTCAATCTCATGTAATAATAGTCATAACGTAATAATAGCCAATCTGATTTGCGTGTTTAATTTTCTTATTTTGCCCCTAATAGTATCCAACAGAATGTCAAATGACATTGGCAACATTCTGAAATATCCAAAAAACTTTGTTTCCCATGTTTGGGAAATGAAAAATGTTTCCCATCACTTTTCAATTAGTCAAACGATACACCAAACTGTCCTTTTGTCCTTCTCTCAAGTAAAAAAGGATCTGTTTGGATTCTTCTTCTTCTACGTCGACGCTTTCTCCTTAACAAGAGAAGGAGAAGGAGAACCTCTTCCTCCAGCGACATCCTCACAAATGAGTAGTCCTAAAGCCAGTAGAGTTCGCTGTTGTGTTTGCTGAGTCGTATACCGATACGACAACTGTCATGAGGTAACACGACTTTGTCGTATGTCAGCACGAGACGAACAGTCGTACTCACATGCGTCCAAGTCGGTGTGTGTGTACCGGCCCTTACTGTAGGCAAGAAAACCAACCTACAATTTAGACCTTGGGTTTGCAATTGGTGATCAATTATTTACCTCACTTTGGGGAGATATTAAAGATTTAGTAGCGATCATGGAAGACGACGATGATGGGAAACAAGCAGGATGTTGTTGCTACAAAGCTTCTGTCTCCTTTAATAACAATTCTTATTACTGTGGTTTTAGGATTTAGAATACTTTCTGTAAGTGATTTGGATAAGTAATTGGTGATTCCGGTACTTGGAGTTTGGATAATTAAAGTTTGAGTTAAAGTTACCGTAGCTTGAATCTGTAGTGAGCAATCAGGTTGCTAATAATTACGTAGTATTGTTAGTGACACTTTTCAAGGAACCCTATGTTTGTATGAATTAAGTCTGGGGTAGTAAATCAAAAGGTTTGCATGCATAGTCATTCCCCATAGACTATGGCTGGTGCAGTTAACTACATCTGTAGAAGCTTATTACTATAGGATTTTAAAGAAATTAGATTGTTGAACAGATTTGTAAATATTAAATGCAGATGAAAAAAGCTCATCCAGTCGTTACGAGTAAAATGTTGCTCCTGAAACAAATCTAAAACTAGTTAAAAGATAGGGAATTTGCCAGGAATTATCAAGGAAATTGACAGGAAAGCAGGCTTACCTTTAAAGAAGTCCGTAGATCCACATACATTTATACAACATAAAAGTAGACATTTTCAAACACTGGAGAACCCTCCTAAGAGCTCTCCAATTTCTGAAAATTTACTTTTGTGTTGTATATATATGTGTCTCTATGGAATTATTTAAAGGTAAGCCTGCTTTCCTGTCAATTTCCTTAATAAATCTAAAACTAGGATAGACTTGTAATTAACCTTGTTTTGTCATTATTTACATTTATTGAATAAGAGGGATATCTGTTAGTATTAAATAAGGAAGAGTTTAGGAATACTGAGCTGGCTAAATTTAAGTTTATTGCAGCTGAAACTGAACAGGCTTCCGCTTGATAAGCATGCCAAAGATAAGATTCTTCGATTGCTACAAGATCACTATGATGAGAAGACAGATGTTGTCACAATCACCGCCGACAGATGCCCGTTGCGGCAACAAAACTATGACTACGCCATGTACCTTCTAACTGCTCTATTCCACGAATCCTGGGTCAGTATTAACTGTTTAATCTATATATAAAGCCCAAAGTACCCATGAACTTTTGAGAAAACTACAAGTCACATCCCCATAAACCATATACTTAAAATGTTCGTCATGACGAGAAACCTTGCGCAAAACTATCCGTTATTTCATAAATTACCCTATAAGGTCGTAATTGCTTTCCAAAGGGAACTTTCCATGTACCTAATGTTAAAAATACCTCAGCTGTACTTTAGTATGTTATTCTTTTAAATCAGGTGTGATTATTTGTTTGTATTACTGTATTCTGTTTTGTTTATTTCAGCTTAAAAACTTAACCAACCAATAGTTTCATTATACTTATGAAGTCAAACGGGGTAAATCCCGTGGGTAACAGCTAGTTTAAATTAAAACTAGGGAGACTCAGGAAATAGTATTATGACTGTGCTCTATGTGCTATATGCTCTATTATGATCTGGGTACCTTTTAACTGCTCCTTTTTACGAATGCTGGGTCAGTAGCCTACTAACTGTTTAATTTAAAATTAAGGAGGTATTACTCCAGCGTCATTAAATTTTACCAAGCATAATATTTTTTATTTATTAAAACAAAATGAAATATTTACTATACTGTGAGTTCAGCTAAAGTAAAGCACGGAAATGATCCTAAATATAAAACAAAAAAATATATTATACAAATCGATTAAGTTTTTGGTTCTTTTTTTAAACTTTTTCTAAAAATCCGATATCTCCAATGTCTTGAAGTGACAGGGGTGGGGGGGGGGGGGGGGTACTGACCACTATACTAGTGTTGGGGAGCGAGCTTGTCTATTGGTAGAGTCTAGGGGTGGTAATTTGGTCACAGAGGTCCCAAATTCAAATCCCGCCAAATCAAAAATGGATTTTCTAAGAGATAATGATGCACCCATAGGTCTAGCCTGAAGAATGTAAAAAAAATTCCAGACCCGTGCCTTTCTTCCAACAAAAAAAGTCTCAGAAGTTACTAGGCTGGGAGTACAGTTGAAGAATATTGTATGCCTACTCATATTTTGATCAACTATCAAAGTTTTATGACCATACTCTACTCTCAGGTAGTGAAAATGCAAATTTATTTGTTTTCCGTGTTTTCAGAGGGTCGAAAGCTGGGAGAAAGATAAAACTCTGGAGGACATGGAGTGTTACGAGTGGGAGGCAAACCAGTCTTACAAGAACGTGAACAATCTTCTGAGCCGAACACATCCTGATGTTGACCTCAAGAACCCTCCTGAGGAGCTCGCCGCCACATTAAAGGATTATAAAAATGCCATTGAGGATATATTCAACAACAGCCGAGGTAAGTTTAGGTAGTCAAATTCTTAGCTTACCTGGTACCACAGTTTACCTAGAGTCAAACAGCTACAGTGTTTCTCTTGTTTGAACGGTCTCTGCCTATGAGGGTTTTAAGGGGTCCAATGGCAGACTTTTGCAACTACAATGTTTACAAATAAATATAATTTAAAAGCAGATGTTTACTTTCAACAACTGTTGGTTTGAATAATCACAACATTCTGTATTAGTCATGATTTGGAATAGTGCCACAATATTTCCACAGAATGCAGCACAGAAACCTATTTTTCTTTTAGATACCGGTAAGTCCAAATATATTAAACCCCAATGGCAGCATACCTGTGCACTGAACAACGTTTAAATTCTCCCCTACTGTATTAAATATGTAAACATAAAAAGTAAAAACCTTTATCAAAGTAAAAACTTATATTCATACACATAAAAAGATATAGATTGTAAAGAACACATTACCATTTTGCCATTTAAAATAGTTGTTAGCGCAGCAACGCGTGTTGGGTAACTGCTAGTCCATAGCCTATAAAAATCCCAAAGTACCCATGGACTCCGTATAGCCAAGAGTGACGTGCGCCGGCCGGCCAACTATGTTAAATGTCTACCGTGGCTGTGTTGTGTTTGTGTTCAATGTATTTAAGAAGATTTGACGAAATTCAATGAATGAAATATTTTAACGTTCTGTTTCAAAAATGACTACTTAGTAGTCAAAACTAGTCAACAGAAGTTCGACAGAGATATTGTGGACATCAAGGTACGTAACCTGTTATAATTGATTACCAATTCCGGAAGGCTTCAACATGAATAAAAATAACTTTGTTCTATTGAACCACAGATATATTGTGCCACTGTAAAATGCTGATTTATCCCTTATACAGATTTTCTAAACATCCCAAACTGAAAGGACATTATAGTACCTACTCTCCTCATCAACCTAGGAGGATTAAACATTAAGGAGAGGACACGCTGTAGTTTCGTTGAAGCCAGCGTACTGGGGAGGGGGAGAGGCAGCGCTACTCTCCCGCCCCCCCTCTCATACTGTGTTGTGTGGGTTACTGGGAGTGGGAGATTTGGTAACAGAAATATCAATTAACTATTTAAAACTTAGACTACATCATGCTACGAAAATTAAAAACTTAAATTCTAACCATAATATTAGAATATAAATTAAGTTTTAATCCTTTAAAAGAATGATAAACACACTTTGGCGTCAAAAGACGTGATGATTGTTGAACATTTTACACTTTTTACTTGAAGTTTCTTTGGCCAAACAGATCAAATATAGTTCAATATGATATTAAAAAATCTAGAATTTGATTACCAAGAAATTGTTTTACTTTTTATGTTTGTAATTTAATTGTAACGGCTGTTGGTGTAAAAAAAGTTAGAGCGGCTTTACATTTTTTCTTAACTTTAGCTATTTAAAATCACCTGCCTAGCACATAAATCTCTTAAAACTAGTAAAACATGGTATTAACAAATCGAGAGAACTATGAAAAATGCAAATCTAAAATGTATTTCACCACCCGAATTAAATTTTTCATTTTAACCTATAATTAGTAAGATTGTTTTATAAACTGGAAAAATTAAAAAAGATTTATTGTAATTATTTTTCTAAATACCACTCTTAAATATAGGTAAATATATATTTTTTATTTCGCGAAACTATTAAGGAATACGAATAAATTGTTAATTTGTATAGATACATCATATTTTTTTCAAAAACGTAATTAAAGTAATGATATGTTCAAAGTCCAGGCCAATTCTTTCAACTTTGATCTTCAGTAATAAATAATAAACAATAGTTTTTATAGAAATTATTGACACCGTTCGATAGGAAATTTAATTTACTTTAAGAATGCCATCGGTGAATAACACAGGTGTTTTAGTTTAGCGACAATTTTAGTTCGAAACAGCGCGCGTCGAGTTTTTCCCTATCTCTCCCATGTTATAGCCGAGGCTTTTTGCCACTCTACGGCTCTGCGTGCCCCTCTAGTGTTCTGCTAAAGCTGGCTTCACCGCAACATGTGTATTCCTATTCGCGTGCCCTCTCCTTAATGTTTAATCCTCCTAGTCATCAACCAACATTCTAACTCTTATTTTTTTTACTTGAAGATTGAAGGAAACAATTCTTCTGTTACCGAATATTAGAGCTTGATTGAAGTACAGTTACAGTGGCTTTGGTGGTAGAAAAGTTAAATACACTCTTGTTTTCCTGAATCCCCCTGAATCTTTCTGTTGCTCTTAATTTAATTTATCTAATCGACTCATTCTTTTTCAGAGGAAAGTGAAGAAAAGCTAAACCAATATAAATCTGCATCTGAAAAGTTATTGTTCTGAAGTTTTTAAATAATATAGAAATAAAATGTACATAGAATACTTTCTTTGTAGATCTCATTATTTTACCTCACACTGCGTCCATCTTAGATACTAAGCAATAGTATAATACGTTACTATAGTCCGTTCACACATTTTAGGCGATTTGAGGGAAAGTCCCTCACTACTTTTTTGCTTAATGCCAATGTTGCAGCTGATTGGCTGTTTGGCAAACTTCAGCTGTTGGACTACTGTTTTAAAGGTAGGATAAAGCGTAGGGAATAGATTTCTTCTACCAAAACCGTAAATTTTAATTTTGTAAACGGAGTATAGTTCCAAAAATAAATGTTTACCAGACGATTAGGACAATCACTATTGGTGTACTCAAATTTTCTCCAACAGGTTATGTTTATATTTTAAACCACTCACTGTCATTGGAATACTTATACATACTTACACTATCATTAGACTACTTATCATCAAACTTTGTTTGTGATTTTATCTTTAGAATTAAGCTTAGTGTGACAAATTAGAATTAATGACTACCATGTCTTCATGTTACCAAGTGTTATTTTTTTATGTACAGAATATCTTTTATTTTTTTAGGTTAAACATGTTAAGCTATGGTTTTATCATGAATAAAACCACGGCTTATACATTTCTGAGCAAAAAAAGTTGATTAGATTTAGTTTTGAACAATTTTTGGGAACCGGAGTTTTGCCAACGGGTGGCAGGTAGATGGGGGGATGCCTTCGGCCACCTCTTGGTGCGGAGATTTGCCAACGGTGGTGGTGGGAGAAAGATTGTGAGGGAGGGAGGGAGAGCGATTGTCAGGGTTGTCTACGCTTGGCAGTTATGCGCTTGTCGCAGTGGGTTAGGTTAGGTTAGGTTAGGTTAGGTTAGGTTAGGTTAAAAATTCAATACATCTCTTTTCACAGTCAGAGGTGCATAACTCCATTACTTTGAACACAGTCAGCATCCTGCCTGGTTTGTCCACCCCTAGCGGAAGCCACCCTCACGGTCACGTGTAATCTTTCTCTCTCCCCCTCCCCCTCTCGCGCAACCCACAACCGTTGGCAAAACTCCGCAGTATGTGGAATTCATGGATGGGGACCCTTTCTACCTGATACCCGTTGGCAAAACTCCTACACTCAAAATTTTTCACTGATAATTTGTTATGTTTATGAAATACCGGGGTTAAAATAAACATTATTATAATCAGCTGGTGTCCGGAAAAGTTAATTACTGTAGCTTACAGTAGTAGTAGGTACAATGGTTGTACGCACAGTAATAAAATTACATTTTATCAAGCAGGCAATGTGATAAGTTGACAAAGTGTGGCTGAATTTATCTGAAAAAAATTGCAAATGTATTGTATTCCTGGCTAGTAAAAAACATCCATTTATACATGAATAACATGGATGAATAAGTTATATAATTTGAGAGTTTTTGTTAACCAAGACGACTAAAAATCAACTGTACCTGTGCATGTTTTACCATTTACAAAGTATAGCTCAACAAAACAGGTGACATCTACCTGGTATTGCTAATTGCTAAAACCTAGGAGACAAGTTTTCAACTTAAGATTTGGCTTTGGGTTGACTTGTGTTGTTCGTGCATTAGACCATTAGGGCTTATTCCTGACCAGGCGTTCGTTGTCTTCGGTTAGGAAACAACATAGTGAGGGTTCACATCTAGCCTCAGTCAGATGTGGTGTGCCACTCATGAGAGAACTGTCAGTGGCTTAGCTTGGTCTTGGTGGACACCTTCGGTAGGTCCGTAAATTACTCATCCTTACTGTAGGCCTATGCATGTCCACCAAAGATTTGTTTGACATACTTTGGATCTTTCTGTTTATGAGTTTTGGTGAAAAAATGATAAACATAGACAAGAATAAATCATTTAGAGAATCTCTGTTTTTTTTCTTCTTTTTTTTTATCAGAGGGCCAGGCTTACAAGTGACTATGGGATTGCATCGCAGCTGGAACAGCTTATTGTGCACCCTCATTCTCAGGTCCTCGTTCTCCGTCAAATCCAAGGTCCTTATCATCGAACCAATGAGAATCTTTTGACTATGGTAACCTGTCCTTCCCTTCAATAGGTCTTCCCTCAATAGGCCAAGGAATCTCATACGCAGACCTTGTAGGGCTGGGCACATAAATATCACGTGGAAGGCTGTCTCCTCCTCCTCACCACATTTGCTACATAAGAGGCTTTCAACTTGAATTCCCACCTTGTATGGATGTCCGCGGAATAACCAGTGGCCGCTGATGAAGCCAACCACCAGGTCGCATCCGGTAGGTGTCTGCAGCATTCTCTTTGACTGTATGTTGCCATTATCATGACCAGGAATTATTGTCTGTCAGGGTTTGAGTTTCCCCCGACAACCGCCCAGTGGTCCATGTCAAGGTCATTCTGGAGCTTGAGGCCCTGCATCACGTCATTCTTGGTTATTGCCCCCGTTGAGATGGGAACAAACGCCGATACCTTCACAGCTTTCACAAGGTCTCTGGCTGGAGCAAGCTGTAGCAAGATTTCCCCGAAAGGACTCAGCTCCTGAACTTGTTTGACCAGCCAATCCTCTGTGGCTGCATTAGCACAGCCAACCACCAAGGCTCCGCCTTCAAGATGGCAGCTGCTTATCCTGATGTCTTTGCCACAAATGGCCCACCTGGACAGCTCCCCCTTCATTTTGTTGGCTTCAGCCTCCCTCCGTTTCCTGTCCGGGTGTTCAGATCTGGCGATGGCCATCTTCTCCACAGACAGTATCAACGAATAGGTGGGTACCGTTGCTCTCTGTGAAAAACCCGAGCCCTCTACCTCTTTCGTCCCCGTCTTCTTTTTCTCGCCCCAGACATCCTCATGTGTCTGGTGCTCTCGCCCCCTCTTTCCACCTTTCTTCCCGGAGGCTTCATTAGAGTCAGCTTTGGGGGTGCCGCCCTCGCCCTGCTTTTTTCTCAACATCCTGGTTCCTGGAGGAACTGGCTTTGCAGGGTTCGGGTGCTTGGCAACCCACGCCAGCCTCCTCACTTCTGGATAGCACCTTTGGCCAAAGCGTCCACTTTCCTCAAAAATTTGTTCATGGGGAAGCAACATTAAGATGGTAAATCCATATTTATTCAGAATGTAAATTCTTCGCCTGAGAAAATCACATATAAGATTTCATCTTTCTGAAGTGACATTTTTGTTCATGAAGGAAACATTGCTCTGGTAGAAGTCTTAACTAAGTCTAAGTAAAGAGGTAAAGGAGATCCAGATTTACATTAATTCCTTTTTTTTTATCATGGTCAGATACAAGAGTGGCATGGCTATTCGGTACTTTGGTACAACATTGGTATTTTAACTGGTAACTGTCTCAAGGCTGCAGGAACTCGTACCATTTTATTAAGAAATGTAAAGCGCTCAGACGAATTTCAGAAATGTTTCTAGTTTCATCTTAACATCATTCTTGCCGGCATCAGCTCAAGAAAATCATGTAGGCTAGATCCAGTTTAAAAAAAATCAAACTGTTGACCCTTCCTGCCCTTTATATTTTACACTTGTTAAAAACATTTATTTACTTGAAAATTGTAAAACAACTCATAATTATGAAACTAGACACAAACAACTTTTGGAATCTAAGCCACATATTAGCTTTGTTTCACAATGCATTAAAATACATGTTATTATCAATGCATAAAAGTCTACAACAAATTATCATTTTATTTCACATACCAGTCTTTGAGTTTAAATAATTTTCTAAAGAAACTTTCAGAAAAATTGATTGTACTTTGTCCTTATGATATGAATTCATTTTTATCCTGTCAATTGCAATATCTTGTTTTAATATTTTTATATATTTATTATGTGTAAACTATTTTTATAATACATGATCCGATTTTGATGAAATTTGGTATAAACGTGTAAACCTACATTTATTCAAACAAGTTCGCTAACCAGCATGATCGGACTATTGGAACGGGGGTTTACAGAGGGTTTTTATGGGGTAAAAATAAGTTTTTCCCATTTTTGACCCAAAAAACATAAAATTTAGCAATTTCTTTCCAAACCATTTTGTAGAGCTTAAAAAAACAAATAATTTAGTATATTGAAGCGTTATTATGCGCCTAATTGTTATGGACAAAATTAAAAAAAAAATGTAAATTTAAAATTCCAATGTTATTTTTATGAAGAACAAGTAAACTGTTGTAGTTAGCTTGTTTATGAACATATTTTGATAAAAAAATGATCCGATTTTGATGAAATGTGGTATGAACGAGTAAACCTACATTTTATTCAAAAGAGTTCGCGAACCAGCATGATCGGATTTTGGGAACGGGGGTTTACAGGGGGTTTTTATGGGGTAAAAATAGGTTTTTCCCATTTTTGACCCAAAAAACATAAAATTTAGCAATTTCTTTCCAAACCATTTTGTAGAGCTTAAAAAAACAAATAATTTAGTATATTGAAGCGTTATTATGCGCCTAATGGTTATGGAGAAAATTCAAAAAAAAATGTAAATTTAAAATTCCCATGTTATTCTTATGGAGAACAAGTAAACTGTTGTAGTTTGCTTGTTTATCAACATATTTTGATAAAATTTGGAAAATGTTTTTATTTCTTACTAACTATTAACATTTTACAAAAAAAAAAAAAAAAAACTGTTTTACCCTCCCTGATGCAGCAAACCTAAGTACTTGTTAAACTAATTCTATTTAAATAGGAAATAAATGTAATATTTTTAAGTAGACATTTTAGTGTAAATCCAATCAGGCAAATGGAAATTCGCTTAGTCTGCAGGTTTGCTGCGGCGGGGGTATTTAGTTTTTTACAACAGATATTCTTGCTTGACAGTAATAATTTATGACGAATTCCATTAACTAATCTTTGTGTAATATTCGACATCCAATAAAACTGTCAAAATTTCTGTAATTATTTACAGTTTAAAAACCTTATATCACCTATATCTATTTTCATACTGAGATGTATGGAAATATGTAAACGATGATATTACTAGATGAAAATGTTCTTTTCCATATGGGAATTTAGTAGCTTAATAATTTCAATACTGTATAAGAGGTCTGAAGAATGATAGAATAAGTTATTTTATAAAACAGATTGTTGATGTTTTTTTATAAATAGACACAGGATGGGCAAAGCAATGAAATGCTTCCCTGTTTTAGAGGTAATAGGTTTTTAAATCATATAGGCCTACATACAACTGTTAGGGACTTTTTAAAATTAAATTTGATAATTTGTTTGATAATTCTAATGCGACATAGCCCATTGCTATAATTATCAAGCATCAGTTATCAAGCTGAGGTGTCCATCAATATGGGCAAGGGGGGCTCGAGTCCCTCTACAAAACCCTACATTTAGCTAATTTTTACAAATTCTAAAAATTATGCATAAACTATAAATTTACAATATACCAAGCAAATTTATGTATTTTTGTAAAATCAGCTACATACATTTTAAACATTTTTCGGAGTAGAACCAATGATCCCTTCTTTTTATTGCAGGTTATTCATTACCCCTCCAGTCCCCTCCCCACTTATGGAACAGTTAAATGGAAGCGTATGGCTGTATGACCAAATAAATCATAAAGGAAATAAGTTTCATCCGTCAAACTCATAGTTGCTAAACTGTTGATAAGTTGGGGTGAATTTTTAGCGATATCCAGATAGCGTAGAGCATGCTTGTAGTTGGTATGTAGCCACAAGGCCTGGAGCTCAAACAAGCTTGGTTCCTTTGACGCATATTTCTGTGGCGATAACTTGTTCCACCCCGAGGCAAGGGAAGTTTCTCTCTACACATGCTACTTCTCAAGTTGTACTTGACAAACTGTATGATTGCACCACAGAAACAGACTTTTGGCATTGCTGAAAGATACGTAAACAGATTTTTTTCAAATATGTTGCGATTAATAAACCCCTGGAATTTTACTATGTAAGTAAGTACAAAAAAATAGAAATAAGTTTATAAAACTACAATCAAGAATATAAATTTTTCCAAAACTGCATCGTTAGCGAGATATCTACCATTTTCTTTAGCTACAGAATTTTAAATATATATTTTTATGAAATTTGGTGTATGATTCGAAGTAGCAACAATTTTTGTGAACAAATGTATTTTTGGTTCAATATGGCGGCCATTTAAATTTTATAATTTACTTATAAGTTACTACAAATGGATTATTTTGTAAAAAAATGTCTAGAACACTTCTGCTTAGATTTATAATTTCCTATCAAGCGACATCAAGTTAATTCATTGGGGTTTAATAAGTAGTTAAAAACTTAGATTTTTAATTGTTCACCCAGGTAAAATGAGGCACAACCTGACAGCTTGGCCTTATTAAATACTAGCTGTGTACCCGTTCTACGCACGGGGATCTTATAATATTCAGTTGAAACCTTCTTATATAACGAACAGCAGTTGGTTTGCATATTTTAAGATATGCTGGCCAAACTATTATACATAGCTTCATTTTATGTTGTTTTTTGTTGTTCCGGATCGGTATGACAATCAATAAAAGGTTAAATTACCTCTGTGTCTGCCGGTCGATCCTATAACGGTAGGCTTACTTTTATTTTTACTATCTGATCTCGTTTGCATGGCTCAATCACGTCCTGGTTGAAGTTCGTTCGCTACGCTCACTCACCTGTATGTTGGAGCTCGTTCGCTGCGCTCACTTTCCTTCAGGTTAGCTCGTTCGCTACGCTCACTTGCCTTCAGGTTAGCTCGTTCGCTACGCTCACTCGCCTCCAGGTTGCAAATTAGCTGTTGTCATAAATGTAAAAGAAATAATAGTGCTAGTGCTGCACCCTGTTGGTAATCCTTGTAACTTTAATGCTATTGAACATCACAGAACAGAACCAACTTGTTTAATTGAAACAGCTGTTAAGATTCAATAATTTCATTTCTCATAAGGTTAACATGGGCTTCCAGAAATTCCACGTCAAAAATCGACAAAAACTTGATTTTCAAGGGTTTACTGTTAAATATCTAACTGTCTCATATTCGATGAAATACGTCTAAAACCATCTCATATATGTATAGTATTTGGAAAATAAGTTTCAGGCGGGACAGTGCTATAGTTATTGAGGAGTAGTTGTAATAAAGTGCGTATTTTAGCGTTACCAAGAGAATGACAGATAGACAGACAGACAGACAGACAGACAGACAGACAGAAATTGAGATAAGGTTTGATTCGGTTTCTCTGACCTATGAAATGTAAAAATAACCAAAAAGTTCATTATTCTAAGCAATGTACAGACAAAACTCTAATTTTATTTATATAGATGGTTACGACTCGACTTCAACATATGGTTTACCGGTAACTAAATAGCCTTTAGGAACACGGAAGTCCCTCAAACATGACATCCTAGCCAAAACGGCGGAAGTTTAAACTAACGAAACTGGACTTATTTAACAAACCTAATTAAGCTGGTATATTCCTCATAATTTTTATAGAGATATTTACTTTAATGTGTTAAACTGCCTTATCGTACCCTTATTAATATTTCTTTCCGACTATTTGTCCCCCAGTATAATGGAAAAATTATTTTGCCTCGAAACGTAGTTTTGAAGTAAAATACTGATGTACAAAACTTCGTTGCATTATTTGCAACAGCTCAAAAATAAATTACTATTCCCCGTTTTAAGACCCTGTAAAAATGTTGAAAATTAGAAAGGTAAACCATAAATATGTACTAAATAAATATTGAAAAGCGGAATTAGTGGTTGCGTAAGTGTGTACAAGTTTATATAAGCTAAATACAAGCTAATAAGCTAAATTGTTTGGTTACATTTAAGTCGAAGCGATTTGAAACATATTTACTATCTAGTTTTGGCGAAAGCAATGCTTTTACAATTAGTTTATTTTGTTATCTTTTAATTACAACCCAATATGCTGAAGCCACCCCCTCAACACACAGTTCAATGAGAAGTTAAAAAGCATTGTTTATCAACATGAGGTAATGGCTTAGTTATGCATGGAAAAACACAATCGTCGAAAACAAACTGTTTGGAGTGTTCTAGGAGAAAAGTAATTCCTTTCTAATTTACTGTAGGTTAACTAGATAAGATTAGCTGCTCGGGTACCGAGAATGACGTGAATCGTATATTTTCTGGTATTAACCCTGTTAAGCTGTACTTGAACGAAACAAACACAGTAATCAAAGGATTAAAATGAACTCTAGACTCTAGTACATCTCAGTTAGCCTATAAAACCAATCTCAATGCTAGTTTTTTGTGTAATACTTAATCAACTGTGTCTAAAATGCGTGTTTCTCTGTTGATTGTTTTTGTGTTCGCTTCCGTGTTTTCGGTGAGTAGCCTATTAACGAAAATTTTTGTTCATACAGAATTGTTAGATTTTAGTATTACATTAGCTAGGAATCAATGAAAAGTTGTATTAAGACATTGGTTAACCAGTATATTTTCAATATAGTTCTCCTGGTGTAGCCTACGTGCTAAGGACAAAATAAGCACTTTAATATAAACAATTGATAGGTTTTGGGATAATTTGAAAATATTTCGTCTTGTATATTATTCTTATCAGGCCAGAAAACTGTTAGGTTTAGAGGATAAAATAGTTGTAGATCCTTTAATGTTTCATTTTGCATAATAAGTTAGTTATGTTGCTTTAAAGTGTATAACTTATTTTTTGTTATAGGAAAACTAATTTTAGTTTTTGTACAAGTAAACAGTTAGAAATACCAAATACCCACTCAAAACATGTTGCTGCTAAGAAGCTAGTGTATTTATTTAAAATCTATTCGAGTTGTAAAGACAGAGTTGTCAATAGACGTTAAGTTAATACGAGTTTTACAGTAAACCTGGTTGTCGAGTTTGTTATACATTTGCAGCATTGTAGTAATGTAGTTCAACACAAATCCATGGTTGAAACGAATTGTAATAAGCGACTATTGTTTGAGATTCAATTGGGGATCGTTAAACTAAATTAACAACTGACCCACACCACAAAGTGCTAGGTTAACATGTTATAAAGTGAAATTATCACCTTTGTCATATAGTAATATTTACTTTTTACTGCTTCTCATCGAAACTTTAAACGTCCGTGGGTGTATTCCGAGACATAAACACGTCTATGTGTTGGCCTTGTTCATAGTGAGTTTTTTTTTCGAATTCAAACTATTGTTTCAACAAAGTTTTGCAAACAGATACAGGGATGCGCTGATAGAAATACAGCTATATATAATTATGAAGACGAGATGGTTTATGTCTTCCGTTTTTGTATCCGTGTGTCAGTTCCGGGTGAGATTGAAAACTGCTGAAATTTATAGGCCGAAATGCAAGGGTGGATTAAGAACCCGCCACATATGTAGCTCCGGTCACTTTGTACTAATTCCATCCATTGACGTTCGAATTTTCGATGAGTAACTTTTGGAAGAAAATTTAATTGGCATCCACAAGAAAACTCACATTTACGTTTTTGCCCTACTCCTAAAATTTGTACCCTATCAAAAGCCAATCGTGTTAGCCAAAGAAAGTTGTATAAACCTAAATTGTATAATTGAGTGTCGTTAGTAGTACAATACTGGGAGGGTTTTGTGTAACTATTTTCATATGTAGATTTTAAGAACCATATCATCTCTCCTTGGTCCTAGGTTAGTAAATAGATTTATTTTACGATTACGTTACATTTCCAGGTTCAGTTAGTGAGCAGCAAACTGAGCTACAACCACGACGACGACAACTTAGATAACTTGAGAAGATGGCATCAATCTCAACTGAGAATATTTCAAAAACCTAACGAGAGGCAGTCAGAACTGCTCCAAGGATCCGATGAAAGCAGTGAATCCAGTGAAGAATCATTGAGTGTTAGTGAATCCAGGGAAAGTGATTCAAGTGAGGAAGAACCACCGAAACCCCCTCGTCCAGGTCCCAAACCTGGACCTAAGCCTGGGCCCGGACCTAAACCAGGGCCTGGACCGAAACCTACTGACAAACCGGAACCCAGTCCACCGGGGCCCAAACCAGGTCCTGGACCTAGGCCTACCCATCAACCAGGTCCCGGGCCCAGACCGAGACCTAGACCGTCACCTCCGCCGAGACCCACCCCAGGACCTACCACTGATACACCCGTGACGGAACCATCGACATCGACCGAACCCGAGGGAAGTGGAAGTGGTGATGTAGATTATTTTAAATGGTGATACGACTTCCATTAACAACTGAAAAATGAACAGGTTATATTTGTATCGAGATTTATCAAAGTAAAAAGTTTAGATATTTTTTGTAATTTTTTAATCTTCAACCTTCTGGTAAAATGTGTCTACCTAGTTAAACATTTAAAATTACTAAACGAAAATGCCGATCAATGTGATTGTATAATATAAATAGATTACAAGTAGTATATTAAGTTTAGGTTGAAACTTTTACACACGTTAAATATTAACTGAAAAGTTCTTTTAAATTACCTGTTTTTAGTTACCTGTCCAATATCTGAATACGAGAGTTTATACTCAGGAAGTGTTCAATTGAAACTATAAAAAGCGCAATGCCTGTAAATCTGCATTGTCTTCATGAAGATTTTATTACTTTATCGAGTAGTTTAATCTAGAAGTAGTTATTTGTGGACCAAGTATATGCACATTTTCAGTAGGTATTAGCATTTACTATTATAATAGTCAAAGGTATTAGTTTTTATGTTGACATAAAATAATCCACAGCTTTTTTAAATTGTATAGCACCTGGATATGAACAACGTAAATTATTCAGCGATTGAGCTAACCTCTACAAGAGAAGATATTGAAGTAACATCTTCAACTACTTTTCAGTAAGCTCTTCTTTACGCAACGCTTTTACTAACAAACATAACTTAACGTTTAAGTTGTTTCAGCTTAACACCAAGTGCTACGTAATCGTATGGTAATTAATTAAGGGGTTGTAAATATAGGTAGGCTTTGTATTTATTTAAACTAACCTACCAAATGGTTAAGGAAGTCTTAAAGCGACTGAGCCTCGCTGGGTGAAATATATTAGTATACTTGAAGAGTATTCTTTGCTCTAGAGCATTATCCTTGCCCTCTATAACTATGTAAGATGCAAAATACCTGTAATTATTGCAGTAAAGAATTTCTATTTAGTTTTGTTAAATGTACTGCTTTTGAACCATAGGTTCATTTTCAAGTTTCTCTTCGTACCTGGGGTTATGAAAAGTAATTATGCGTACACACACAAATACATGGAGAAGAAAAGATTTAACAACAATAATTTATCCAAATAATAATATTGGTTGTGGAGCTTGGTGTTGCAGGCAGACGAATACGAATTTTAAAATAAAACATTTTATTTTTAATGAAATCTGTGTGGCGAGTCCTAAAAATTAGAGTGAAAAAGAGTATGTTCTGGATCTCTGTTAAAATCCCATTAATTACCAATTGATTTCGGCTATATGACAATGTTCTAGCCTGTTCGAGCGGATCCCACTTAGGACTATAGATTTATCTTTCAAATTAAAAGTTAGGACTCCTAAGCGTACAAAGCTAACTCTCTTTATTTTAGATTGCCCTCCACACAAAGTCTTGCGATGATTCATTCTTAAGGTTTTTTTTAAATTACTTCGTACTTTCGTACTTTCTTAGTTACTTCGTAAGTTTGTTAATTTTCAATATGAAAGTAAATACTAACCATTAAAAGTGTCACTACTTTTTTTCTTTTGATGCTAGTGCACTTTATTTGGTTTCAACTAACTACACAATCCCATGATATCATAGGCTTAGTCTATTGATTTTATTAATAAAAAGTGTACTAACAGTAAAACAAATTGACAAAACGCTTATTAAAATAACATTGAACAATTTTGCAGAGCACTTAACTATGAGGTTGAAGGCAAACCAATAAACTCGACCCCTCGAGGAGGAAGATTTCACGCATGTAAGCGAGTGATATATTGTATAATTTTGATTACATACATATTTCAGTGAATGCCAAATGTGTAACAACATTTAATATTGACCATTTTCCAATAGGATCGGTTAATGTTTACTCTACGTTTTTAGAATTAAAACCAATAACATAAATTAAAGTATGGACAATTATCATTGCGGTATGACGAATACACAATGAGTGACTAGGGGGCCCGTACGCAAATTGTGCAACTTTATAAGAGACCAAAACTTGTTTTCGAGGCAAAATGAATAATCCAGTGTCCTTTCAAAGATTGATTTTTTTTAAAGACAGTTGTTAGGTGAACAATACTACATTTTCGTGAAAATTTTCGTCTGTTATTTACTATCTAACTGTGAGTAAACATTAAACTGAAGGATAAGCTCTTGTTAAATTAAAATTAAAATTTCAACCCGTTATGAAGAAAGTTGTTCTTTAATACTGGATATTTGAAAGTGAACCCTAGAAATAAATAAAATGCCTTAAATGAAATTACCTTATCGAGTTACATTCGTCCCTCCGCTAAATCATAGGCTGTAAAATGATACCTAAATCGTAAAAATATGTGAAGAAGGACGGGCGAAAAAGGGGTGTTACAGAAAAACACTTATTAAGTATATAAAATATGTATTGATAGATAATTTACTCGGACCACTCTTTTTGTGTTCATATAGAACACAAAAAGAGTGGTCCTAGAATAACCGTTTTCTCTCCAAAACAAGAAAAATAGAAAACAAATGACTGTGGTATATTGATCCTAGAGGAAACAGCTGATCTAAACCCGGCTTAATGGTATATTTAACTGGCACTAGCTGTGTGCCCGTTCTACGCACGGGGATCTTATCATAGTCAGTTAAAACCTTCTTATATAAAGCACAGCAGTTGGTTTGCATACTTTCAGATATGCTGACAAAACTATTCCTTCGCAAATACAGTATCTGACAGTTTCAAGCCAAAACTAATGCTTCGCAATTAAATGTCACCCGGATCTTGTTGATCCATATGTTATATCCAATGACTAAACTAAATAAACGGTATCAGCATTCTGACACATACTTTCTCCCATAAGTTTGTCAACAACCTTTATCATGTGTAAGCGGTGAGAGTAAATATACGGAAATGGGATTTGTACAATTTTGTTCAGAATTTAAAGGACTATAACATAATGGTTAAAAGTATTTAAGGTACTACCTCAACCTCTTAATTTAACACTTTATTCGGGTTGACATTTTCATTATCAAGGCGCTCTTGTCCTTTCCGTGAAACATTGAGAAACAAGGACATTAATGCGTTACCATCATACATACACACAAAAATACCGAACTTAATTAGGGAATCTGCTTAATTAGGGAAAAAGGTACATATCAAATTAGTACTTGAAATCTTTGTTAATGCCATAAAATTTGATCATAACAATTTATATTTGCTTGGACCGGAGATGACTCGAAATTCTGTCGAAATGGTATATGAATCGGTTTGCTATATGAAATGAAGTACAGTAGGCCTACTATAGACGATTTAGATTGGTAATTTGTAATAAAAATTACCAAAATAGGCCACGAACTATTGATACATAAACAACGTTCAAAGTGTTTGAACAATTCATGATGGTTTGCTGAATAAATGTTTTTCTAAAATGCGTTATAGTTTTCTTAGCATAACATTTTGGAATCCAGACAGAAAAAGCAAAAATTATACAGTTAAGACATCAATTATATTGAATAGGCCTACGCCTGTAATAAATAAGGTGCAACACCAACGATAACTAATTTGTAAATTACTGTGATGTGTTGGTACGTAAAAATGATTCTTGCTGCTACTAAAGGTTAAAAGGAAAAGAACCAGTACCGTACCAAAAACCAACGTTTACAGTTAAGAACTGTAGTACAGCCGACCAATTATATGCGTTAATCAAGGTTATTGATCTCTTGGTTTTGGATTTTCTCGTAAAAAGTTATCGGCAATCAAAGTTATTTCCCATTAATTGCTTTATTTGTACACAACTCTTAATGTAAACTTATCGGTGTCAGTTTGACAAAAAAAACCTTATACAACATAACTTTCTGTTATTTAATAGATTACGTATTCTCTAAACAATGGTTGCTGGTATATATATTAACATTATAAGGAAATGTGACAAAAATCACACAACGTTGGGTTTTTGGACGTTTATAATTTTATTTCTTAAGTACCTAGGTAGGCCGTGTATTCTATGGAAAAGTACCGGTATCAAGGATCGTTGTCGAAAGGGTTGTTATAAATAATTGGGTAAGCATACGTGTACCACACGTACCCAAGAGAAGGGCTATGGGCCTATTGTCTGTATGGTCCAGCGATTGCATCACACGGTGAGTAGGAACTATTGACTTTATATAGTCAATGGTAGGAACAGAAAGTGACACATTGGAAAATCGAGTTCAGCATCATCCGTAAACCTCTGTTACAATCACCCACTGCAGTTGTAATTTTTTGCTTTACACTTTACACAAACGCCATTGAAGAGCCGTCAATGAGTGGAACATTGTTTCTAAGCTATTGGCGACGGTCATTAGTAAATTTAAGTTTCCCAGCCGTATACAACACTGATTCAATCTTGATTCATTGTCTTCTTTCTGGTTATCAAAACTCCAAAACAATTTTATACACATATTTCTGGTTCCTGACCTGGATGATGCCTAATTATTTAATTTACGGTTACACTATATTATTCCACTTGCGATTAATTAAATCCTTTATGTAATAAAAACGTTTTTAATCTCACTTGGATGGGATTTGCCTTCAAAACGTGATCGGAAATGGTTGTGGTATTTGTAAACAACATTTGTAAACATTTCAGTGACAGCTAGAAAAAATAATCTTGATCCGAACAGCTGTTCGTTGTTTCATAGATGATTATGTGATACAAATTGGAAGAAAACTTGACAAAAATCGCACAAAACTGCATTTTTGAACGGCCGTAATTTTAATTACAAAGTAGTGAGACCATATTTTAATGGCTAAAGACACTCTCGCCAATCCAGTGAATACATTAAAATGACTTGGGTCTTGATAGGTACTCTCGTTTTCCTGGAGAAGATTGCGTAAAATGCCATCTTGAGTGTGTCAGACAGACAGACAGACAGACAGACAGACAGACAGACAGAAATTTAGATAAGACTTGTTTCGGCTTCTTTAATGTATAAAACGTAAAAATAACCTAAAAATGTATGATTCTGAGCAATGTACAGACAAAACTCTAATTTTATTTATATAGATTAGATCAATTATCAGCCAAACGTTTGCTGAATAAATCTTAATTACTATCGGACCACCATTCATTAAGTAATGCATTCACTTAAAGTGAATTCGTATCTGCAGTGAACTTAACAGTTGTTTTATTAAAGTTAAAAAAATGTGCTGCACCGACCTAAAACAATACTAATTATTACTGAAGTGGCTTAATAATTAATTAAGTGTTCAATGACAAATTAATGGCATTTTTTTCTTTTGTGTGTAACAAAAGTTCACAGTGTAAAGGTTTTCTTGGGTTGTGTTATCAGGGGACGCACGTTAGATCAATTTTGTTGTAATATTTTAAAAGTTAGTAATAAAATAATCTTTTCATGAAGGCAGCTAAACGCAGTCAAACACACCGTAAAAGTGCATTTGATTTACGAACGTTTTGATTCACGTATATATACAAGGGCGTTGGCTTAATCTATGATAGTACTTATTTATATGTCAATGTTAGGCCCAAGAATGGAATGGTGATAGACATTCTAGGCAGGCACTAGGATTCAGATCCACACCATGGCCGCCATCATAGCTGACATGGCACCGAAGACAACCTTCACCCACTGAGCACCCAATGGTTGAATTGTAATATCATTGAGTATATGGTTTTGTATTTTTAACTTTTTCTGATCCATGTCTTACAACACAATTAATTATGCGGTGTCGTATGTACGCTATAGTTTAATGTTTTTAGATACGGTTGAGTAGTGGTGTTCAAATTTGTGAGATACTCTACATTAATATGGTTTCCTAAATGACCGTCACTATAGACTACTGGTCTGTGTTTTGATCTACAGTCATTGAAGTATTGTTGCACAAGTAAATGTTAGC